TCATTTTGCTTCCGAGAAACATGCAAAACGGGACGGAAAACATGAAATTTTGCAATAATCTTGCGCCACCCTTGCACAAAACGACGATAATTTTTGTAATTTCATAGATAACAGAAGACTGTATTACTGACTTTAAAGCTGGATCCGCCCCTGTTGCCAACCAAGAAATTCTCCTTCGGGAAGCAGACCATATCTATTTGGGTTCCGCATTATGTGTCCGAAATACTGAAGTTTTCGACATTTTCCGGTAGCTCTGGTTCCTTTTTCATCCGTCGCATTACTTCTGTGTTGGTAATTTTTTGTGTCCAAGATATTTTCAGGATTCTCCTGTACATCCAGAGTTCGAAAGCTTGAATTCTCCTGGTAGAATCTTTGGTGACTGTCCATGTTTCCACACAGAAGGCCATACAGAAGGACCGAGAAGACGTAACAACGCAAGAGTCTAAGCTTCACCTCTAAGGATAGATTATGGCTTTTAAAAAGCGAGCCCATTTTAATAAACACATAGCGGGCCTTCTCGATGCGACATCGTATTTCTTCATCGACATCTCTATCATCTCAAGTATGTGTACTGGCTTACTCTTTGTATTCTACTATGATTGATGTATAAACTATTTCCGCGATGTTTCTTTTAGGTTCACTATGAGGAGTTTGTGTTTTTCTACTTTCTTTCTTCAAAATTTCCTACTCTAGAAAAGTTTGAACTTCCTTTCTGTTATTACAAATTTAATACCAGCATTCATAAAGTGGTAGCAATATGTTTTATTTCACTTTTTCATTAATTGAGTTATTTTACTTTCCTCCTAATCAGTCAAAAAAGGCCACAACGAGTTGGGGTCGATCAAACTCCACGAGGCTAAAGATCAGCATTCAACTTGAAAGTGTCCATTTTTTTCTCATTTTATCGAACGAATCATTTGCGAGGTTCTCAAACTAATAAAACGGATGATAAATCGAAGAATTAAGATAAACAGAACTATAATCTTTTATTAATAAAACGTATTTTTACCTGTGACAAGAGTGCCATCTCCAGCCCTATACAGAAATTTCGTAATTCATATCATAAACACTGGTGCGGTCCGGTGTGGACGGTCGATGAGTGATCGGATGAGAGGAACATTGTGATGTCTGCGAAGATAAGTCCACATTATCCGACATTTCCAACGCTCTAAAAACCAAACCAACTTTTACTCTCTAAATTACCTTCCTGAAACAATATGTATATTAGATTTAAACAAAAGCCAAAGACAATCAAATATTAATGCTCAAGAAAGTCTTTCATTTTCTAGTTTCGTTTGAATACGAGGTAGTGGCTTGATATGGTTTGATATAATTTGGTCAGCAAGTCCAGATCTGCGCATTTATTTTGTACGAAATTCGCATCGAGTCGTATCTGGCTCGTGCTTAACCATTAACGCACCGATATTTCTTCGAGTTTGGCTCCTTCGTCACTGTCATAAAATGTTTTAAAGTATTTTAATTAAAAAGTAAACGACAGGCTTTTTTGATGAATTACGTAGGTTTATAGAGAACTATTGACCATAATTTAAAGTTTACTTAGAATTTGTAAATTATAACTTTGTTACAAGTTCAGTATCAAAGTCGTTCAAATGGCCTATTTTTTGCACTCGCCGATGTTGCCACACGCAAAACACGCTTTTTTTAAACATCGCAAATAGTAAATTTTTTATGCAAAATATGCACCTTACCGTGAAAGCAGCACTTGGATTTTCAACACTCATTGCTTCGCTTGTATATGCTTACAAAAGTACGCTTTTGAAAAATTACAAATGTCAAAACATGACAGTTTCAAAAATGGCATTGACACCAAATTTTAAATATGAAGTTGACGGCTTTTATTTTTGGCTATTTTTATTTATTATAACTTATTATTGGTGTTATCTCCTTTATTCGAATAAAAAATATTCTTGAATCGAACACTACTATTTAAACACTCTTCTTTACGATAGTTTTTGTCGTAAACGCGACTATTTAAAGTTGGATTTCCATGTCAAACTCAGTTTGGTCGGTGTTGCCAAAAACGGCTCATTTGTTCTCAATGTGTCATAATTAAGTGAAAATTGTGAAGAAGGTTAAGTTGACTTTCTGACAACAAACAAATAAGGATTTTTTGACAAAATCGACCCAACTGAGTTTGATATGGAGAATCCGGTTAAAAAGACTCTTCCTCACGACACTTTTTATCGAAAAAGAGACTGTTTAAAATTAGGGTAATGCTTTACGGTACGACCTGGTACTAGGATTGCCGCTTTTTCGATTAAGACTATGCTCACCTTATAGAAAATCTCGTAACAAACAATATTTTTCATATAAATTTAAATAATGGGAACTTCTTCGTAGTTCCCGTTGAAAATCGAAATTCGGAAACTCTTACGGAATTACTTTTTTGTTTTCATTGAAATTTTCTACTTTGGTGGCAGTTCGGCAACATGGCTGACCAGTATGCAATGTTTGGCTGCGCGTACCCTGCGTGCAGGCATGTTGCAGCACGCAGCAGCATGCAGTTCGTACCGTAAAGCTTTACCAAAATTAGCATGATTGTGAACAGCAGGAACTCATTGGACTTGTGGTGATGAATGAACCTAATGAACATAAGCCTTGTTCTATGTTTGGCTCGCCACGTATCAGATATGACATATTTCGCTCGTGTATGGGGCGCTAATAGTGTATATTCCCATATTCACTTACCTAACAAAAGACATTGGTCTTCGCCTATTATCCCCGACGGTCGGTGGAGTTCCGGCTCCTAACTTCCTTTGTACCTGAGGGCTGGAAGGAGGATAAACTGGAACGCCTCCTCTATTGGCGGGATGATAAGTGCGTGTATTTGCCTGCGGAGGATACATTTGTTGTTGCGTTGGACTAGTTGGATTCGATCGGTAAAAGTCTGGCTGTTGAGCTGGAGATGGATAACCTGGTTAAGAGGAAGAAAACCCATTGCCAAAAACGGACTGATGCTCTTATACGTTCACAATGATTTATTTTAAAATATTTTCTCCGCTATTTGCAATGCTATTCGCTTGGAAATCCGCCAAATTTTCGTGTTTTTTTATTTATTTAGTTTATTTTCTTATTTTATTAGTAATTTTTTTTAGAATGGTTGTGCTGCAAAGTTTCATTACTAATTAATTGCTTGGTTTGATCCTGAATTTTATGAAAAAATTACTTATTTTGATGAGCTGAGTCTTCTATGTCGCTTCTTTTGCTTATAGATTTGTTATTTGTGGCTATCTCTATCATATCTATACAAATTATTTTTCAATGGAATGAATCAAAAACTACCATTTTTCGATCAGAAGCGCTGATCATAAAGAAGCATTTTTCTTTACTGTTCATTTGTTTTACCTTTATGCACGAACAAAAAGTAAATGTGACAAATTGAACGTCATAATATTTTTCAAACGTCAAACAGCTAAAAATGGTCTTCGTTTTGGTTTAAACTGTTATACACGTCAGTATACAGGGTGTCCCAAAAGTAATGGCCCAAAACAAAATGGTCGAAACATACACCCAAATTAAATTTACACCAAAATTATTAATTAACATTACCTTTATTAATTTAAACAATGAGGTTAAGTCAAAGTCACATAACTGACAATTTGCACAGACGAATTATCAGAGCGAATTTTCATATATTGTATTATCCTACTATTGTTACACAATTTATTAACATACTCTTTTTTAGGTTCATTTAGGTTCTTTTGATAGCGATAGCAGAAAATAGCTATCGAAACGTCAAGGTAATGTTTCAAATTAATTTCTCTACTAATTGGAATTTTCTCTTACAGCTTGAGCCCAAGTGTGTCGCAGGATACCCTCTAGGTGACAGTTCTTGATTACTTTTTGATGAATAATTCGTTCTTATTGCGAAATAGGAGCACTATTTACCAATCTGTAATAAAAGACGTGAGGAAATTCTGCCTTTTTTAAAGACAAAAATTTTTGAGGCGAAATACCCAAAAAGAAGTTTGTAAAAAAATGACTCCGCCTCAACAACATAGAACTTATCTAAATACATTATAGGAACCAAATCCAAAAAACAATTCAAGCCAGTAGATGGCGCTGACCCAAAGGTTTCCCCAAAATTAACATTGTGTTGGACCTATTATAGTCTATAGTATTTGGCCAAAGCGACTCAGGGCTGGTGTTCATTTTACGGATTTACGCAACTATCAACTGCCCTATCCCGCCAAAACAAAAAGTTAAGTAACTTTAAGTGTAACACTCACCTGACGGCGACGTATCCTTCCACATGTAAACACCTCTTTGAGGAGAATTAGCCAATTCTCTTATATTGTCCACAGTATTATTCGATCTAGGATAGCTCAATTGTTGTTCTTGCCTAACCAATTCGCCCTCGGACATGAACCTCCTCTGCGGACTACCTCCGTACTGTCCATGACTATGTGGTTGTCCGCTACGAACGCTGGCTCCTGTTTCCGACGGTTGAAACTCATAATAAGCAGCTCCTGGCTGAGTGGACGCATAAACCACTCCTATAAAGTCCGGCCTGCGTGGCTGCGTTGGCGTGCTCGGATTGGATCTGCGAAATGCACAAGCAACTACAGGAACGCGTTCGAAAACATATTTATTAGATAATATTAAAAAAAATGTATGCAATTTAAAAACGGTTAAATTTGATTTTCGATATGGAGGTATACTCTGTCGCGTTATACAGATGTATAGAGCGATTAGTAACATATTTCGAACGCTTTGGTATTGTTCTAGCAAGTGGCGGGATGGAAAGGATAGGAGAGTCAAGTACAAGCGGTTAGGCAGCCGGTCAAGTCCATCTGTAAAAGGAGATAAAGTAAGACAGGTTATAATTGGAGGTGATTAGATGAAAATGCATCGATGCACTGGAAGGTGGAAGTAAGCTTGAACTGCGAAGAGAGGGAGTCCAATGCTTTGTGTTATGAAGTGGTGATGATGATAATGCCTAACGATCGATATTATTCAGTCAAGTATGAGAAATCTTGTATCAACATTTTCCATAATGAGTTAATGAGCATTCGCAATCTCTAAGTAAAATCTTACATTATTTAAACCAATAATTTGGTGGCGTTATATTGATGACGTGTTCTCCATTTACAGTCATGGCGAACAAAAACTTGATGATTTTTTATCTTATCTGAATAATAAAGAAAAACAATTAAATTCACTATTGAAAAAGAACAAAATCACCAAATTCCTTTTCTCGATATACTAATTCAGAAAAATTTAGACAATTTCCAATCCTTGGTCTATAGTAAACCTACTCATACTAACCGATCTTTGAATTTCGACTCAAATCAACCGATAATGGTTAAAAAAGGTATCGTAAAAAGTCCATATGATAGAGCAAAAATAATTTGTAATCAATCAA